TCATCAGGGAAAAGAGAAAACACATCCATCGGAAAAAAAGAAAAGAAATGAAAATATTATGAAAAAGGACTAAAAGAAAATATAAATAACACCTAGAAATGTAAACATCATAACTGAAATTTAGGAACAACAGATGAGTTACAAGATAAAGTAGAGGAAATCTAGTACAAAAATATAAAGACATGGAAGATAGAAAAAAAGATAGGAAAATTAGAGGAGCAATTCAAAGGGTCCAACAACTATAAGTCTAGTAAGAGTTCCAGAAAGGAGAATATGTTTATGACATTTGGATATTAAAGATTTCTTTGATACAAAATTAATTTGGCTGTACAAGTTGACTGTATCTCATCTGAAATGCTTAGGACCTGAAGTCCAAATTATTGGACTTTGAAACGTTTATGAATACAAACTGGTTGAGCATCTCTAATTCAAAAATCCAAGACCTGAAATGCTCTAATGAGCTTTTCCTTTGAGTATCATGTCAGTGCTCAAAAAGTTTGGGATTTTGAAGCATTTTGGATTTGGGATTTTTGGATTAGGGATACTCAACCTGTATTAAAATTAAAGACACCATTAACAAGTGAAAATAGTAGCCTAGGAGATTAGATTTGTAACACACAGAGCCAATAAAGCAGTAGTAAACAGAATTATAAAGATTTCCTTCAAATTAAATACTATAGAAAAGTAGAGAAAGGAAACAAATGGGAAATTTGCAAAAGAGGTAGCAAATGGGCTAATAAACCTTGATAAGATGTTCAACCTCACTATAAATCAGGGAAATACAAATTAAAACTACAAAGAGATTCTATTTCATATCCATGAAACTGGTTAAAAATTTTAAAGTCTGACAATGTCAAGTGTTGCTAAGGATGTGAAGCACTGGAAATTTTCAGATAGTGCTTGGTATGATCATTTTGGAGAGCATTTGATGATATTTATCAAACCTAAAAACATGCATACCCTATGACCCAGCAGTTTCACTCTAATACATCTAGTGTGTCTGATGTAATCCTAGTTAAATAGACATGCACAAAGATACATGTATGCAAATTTTTTTTTTTTTGGCCCTAAGTTTTATTTTATTTTTAATTGACAGATAATAATTATATATATTTATGGGGTACAATGTTATGTTTTGATACATGTATACATTGTGTAATGATAAAATCAGGCTAATTAGTATATCCATCACCTCAAATATGTATTATTTCTTCGTGGTGAGAAAATTTTAAATCCTCTCTTTTGGCTATTTTGAAATATGCAATACATAATTATTAACTATAGTCACTGTGCTGTGCAATAGAACACCAGAACTTATTCCTCTTATCTAACTGAAACATTATACCCATTGACTAACATCTCCCCTTTCCCAGTCTATTCTCCACACCCGCCTCCCCTGCCCCTAGCCTCTGGTAACCACCATTCTACTCTCTACTTCCAGGAGTATGACTTTTTAAGATTCCACATGTAAGTGAAATCATACAGTATTTGTCTGTGCCTGGCTTATTTCACTTAACATAATGTCCTCTAGGTTCATCCATGTTGTCACGAATGACAACATTTCCTGATTTTTTTTAAATTATTTTTTTAAAGACTGAATAGTATTCCATTGAGTATACATGTATACCACGTTTTCTTTATCCATTCATCTGTTGATGGGCACTTAGGTTGTTTCCATATCTTGTCTATTGTGAATAATGCAGATGGTAGTGCAGACATCTCTTCAACATACTGATTTCAGTTCCTTTGGGTATAAACTCAGTATGCAAATATTCTTTAAAAAATTTTTTGTAATTAAAAAAATGAAACAAGCAGTTTTAGGTTCTCAGAAATAAGGTAGATCAACAAAACTATCAACAAAAGAAAGTTTAAATAAAAAGTAGTATATTGTAGAATGGTACTATTCAGCAGTTTAAAGACCAACACACATAGATACAGATAATCTCAAAGTCATTATTAATTAAAAAGTTGCAGAAAAATATATACTTTTTATATAAAGATATCATTAGTAAAAAGTTTAATAATATGCAAAACAAAGTGTTCTTTATGGATATATAAAGTATGTGTATGATATACTTTTTTTTAAGCTTAATGGTAGCATACTGGTATTTATTATATTATTCTGTATATTTATGTATGCCTGAAATTAAAAAATTAATTTAATAAAATCAATATATTACTAAACTACAACTTCCTCAGCCAGACATTCAAGACCCTCCACAATATTATTCCGACCTACTTTTCTAGCCTCATCCTTCATTATTTCTTATAGCAGTGTTTCCCAAACCTTGACATTAACATACCTCCTTCATTATTTTTGCAATATATGCCACCTTTATTATGATTAATTAGTATTTTTCTTTTCATCATTTTTAACTTAAGTAACCTTGTATAAATTGGCAATAAATGGGAAATCACATGTTTAATATGCCAGCTACATTTTTTTAATGTGAATATAAACAAACATACAAATATTAAAATGTTTGCTCTACAGCCACCTAAAAACATCAAGTGTCACACTTTGGGTTGCACTGTCTTACACCAGTAGTCCTCAAATTTGGTGTACAAGATTGCTTGGGAGACTTGTTAGAAATGAAGACTCCCAGGCCACACCCATAGAGATTCTAATTCAGGCAGTCAAAAGACAAAAATCCTGCCCTAGATGTATCCTTAGCACAAACCAAATTGGACTATTTGCCATTCTTTAGATAAGATCTACATTTTACTCCTCCAATACCTTTCCTCTTGTTATTTCCTCACTTTGAAGTATCCCCTCCCACTCCCTAAGCCAATGAAAATTAAGCCTGCACTTTAAGGCTGATCTTAAATATCACCATCACAATAAAATACTTTGACTTGGATGTGACATCTTGCTCATTTCAATACTTTTCCTTCCCCTATCAATTTATTTCTATTTCCATATGGATGCTTTTCATATTCAATGTAATATATATCTACTTGTCTTAGTCCCCCCTCCTCAAGAATAAATGTTACTTGAGGTCAGAAGCTTTATACCGTGTTCAACAGTAGGGATTATACCTTGGCCATTTTATGCTTTGCATATGATAGTTACTCAAATACTTGCTGAACTGAACTCTGCTAAATACCACTTTAACAAATTTTATTAACATTTTTTAAATAATATAGCATAAGAGCTAGAATATTCATTCACAGAGCATTACAAATTAAACATGAGACTTTAGTCTGCTTAGCTTCATTTTCAAAATAAGAAAACTGAAAATATATCCTATATAGAAACAAATAATTTTTAAGTTGCTTTAATTTTCGAAAGAAAAAGACAATAGTTTAACTAAAAATGCCAAATTCGGTTCTTAAGAAAAAAAAGGAAAACTGCTTAATGTGCAACCTTAAAGGCAAAAGTAAATCTTTGTGTTATTAATTGACAAAATGAGTTTTTGATGCTGCTACAAAAAGCTATTAATTTAAGAACACTATTATTAAAACAAAGTTAATTGATTCTTACAAATCCTCAGTATTTCCAAAAGATATTTCAATATGGTTTCTCTTTGCCTTAATAATGCATGTTACTCAATGCAACAAGAGCAATAATTTCTAAGTATTTTTTCAGTGTAAAGAGCATAACAACCATCTGTTTTTAATCAGACAACATAAACATGTAACTCATTTGTGAAGCTTGCTTTTTTAATTTGGTAATAATAATTTGGTTTCTTTCTATTCCAGGAGTAGATTGTTTTACTGTTTTAAACATACTCATTTTAATCTAGATAGAAAATAAATTAATGGAATCAATGAAATGGAACTTTTTAATGGAAAATGTTCATCAACATCAATATATATCACAATATTACCTGGATCTTTATATTTTAGCATAGACATGATATTTTAGAAAGACAAAGAATTGTCAATATAAAATATACAAATGTATACATTAATTTCAAGTAATAAAAAAAAATGGAGAATATATACTTTGTTATACTAACTTGGCCTCCCATGTGAAAAAGAATAAAAAGACAACAACTGTAAGAAAAGAAGAACATGGGAAGATTCTCACATATCGCATTTTCTCCCCTCCTCATTCATCTTTCTGTCATATTCCTGTTAAATTTTCTCTTTTACATGGCAGGTCAAGTAAACTAAACCTAGCTTATATGAAACTTTTTGTTTAAATTAACCTACTATGTCCATTTTCCTAAATAAAATTAATTGGAAGTAAAGCAGTAATAAGTTACTATTATTTCTGAGCTCAAGTTAAGAATTCCTAAAAATGATTCTAATATTTTTACTTACCATAAAATTTTGATGACCTATAACTATTCATACTAATAAAGAGACCTATCCATTTATGCTTACTTCTTAAGTAAGCAATCTTTTCTATTTTCTAAAGTACTAAGTATAGACAGATATTAAGGCTCTGTAAATGTTTTAGCACTGCTCAAGGACCAAAAAAATGCAGAATTTTAAAGGTAATGAAAAGAAGTTAAATAAACCTATTTCAAAGATCCTGCAAGTATAATAGATCAATTAGACAAGCTTACTGGAAGGTAACAAACACAACTCATTTGATAAAGCAGTTCTGAGAAATCCAAAATACCATTTCTCTTTTTTTAAAAAATCAAAGCACGTGGACTAACAAGAAATAATGCACAATTTGGCTTGATCAAATACTTCATTAATTTTTTTCTACCCCTAAGGGATTGCCCTTTTAAAATCCTCTTCAAATAAGAATATAACCTAATTGCTTGCACAGGTCTACATTTTGCAAAAGGATTTTTATTTCAACAGTGCCACCTAGTGGAGCAATCAATACTTTCAACTGATCGCTAGGTTTCATTTGTCTCAAATGCTAACATTCCCCAAATAGTTTTATTTTCTGATTGACAATACTAATAGTATTAACATTCAAGGGGCAATTTTACAAAAGTATCATAATTTACAAATTTATGTCTTCTGATAGGCTATCTCTAATTTAAAAATCAGGTCATTTACAAATATTATTGTAATATTTTAAATAAAGGTACCTTAGTGATTTCTTCAGAAACTCGTTCGAAGTCCTGAACGTTTCGACAGTAAAGTCCTATTGTACAGCTAGGATCCATTTTTCGAAACGACATCTTTTTGGGAGAAGGGCAGTGGAATGTCTGTAATTTTTAAAGTTCTTTAGGGTTAATATACCTTTATTTGATGGACTTAAGCATATACAAAAATATTATTTAAAATTTACTATCTAGCTTTTTCTCAAAACCATAAACATATTTTTCAAATGGTGCTTCAGTCCATCCTGTGCAGATGGGCCTTCCTACTCTCCAAAGCTGTAATATACAAGAACCATTACTGTGTATATTCAATTCACCAAGTCTCTACATTATGTGACATTAGTATTATTCTGCAAAAGAAAAAAAGTATATCAAAACTGGTATGCATTTCTAACACTTGCAGAAAGAAAGAAAAATGTGCCACTGAAAAAGATATGCATAGACTAGTACAAGGTTTAAAATCAAGTTAGTTATTTCAATGAAAAAACTTTGCCAGAGATATTTTTTAAACCTTTTAATAAGGACATCAAGACTTTTAAAACAAATACAGATTCACGAAAATGTTCCATACTGATATGAAAAGAGGTCAACTTGTGAGTTTTGGCAATTGACACAATTAGTACATAACTGCATATTCTCCCAATTTGCTCTTCTATTGTGATTTACTTTAAATTCCTGTTTATTCTCATACAGGGCAAAGGATGGAACAGATTAAAACTGTTCTTTTATGATCATTGCCCATCTTCTCACCAGTCCAGCTGTCCCTTTAGTTTACCTTTCTCAAGCAGTCACAGTGCCACAGATATAAATAAGCTGAGTAGTCTGCCCTAGTTTCTCTACTCTTGCTGGTGGGATTTGGCTATTAGTAGAGTTTGGCATCTTTAAGGAACACAAAAGTAGAAAAGGAGCAGAATATAAAGCTAATCATCCCTATCTTTTTGTTCTTTACTACCATACTTTGGTACTATGTTTAAAATATATATTTTTTAATGTTGGAATGCCTAAATATCCTGTCCTTAAAAATCACTGATGTTACTAAGTCTTTCTGTAGGTATAAAAAAGAAATTTGTGTGGAAAAGGAGGGACATGAGACTATATATTCATATTTGTTTATATTTGCATAAATAAGATCTATAAGGATATATAAAAGTTAGCAAGTTTGGAAGAGGAAAGAACTGGGCAGACCGAAGATGTGTTGGAAATTCTTCATTGTGTATTTTGTATTTTTGAATTAATGAAAAAGCTCAATTAAGAAATAATCTAGGCTGACTTTGAACTCATAAACTTAAAATTTCCCTAAATTCAATGCCTAAAACTAAGGGATTTTAACTTGAAACTAGCTATTAAACTGTGGAAAAATACAGGCTGTCATATTTGTTATGTTCGTTATGAATTAATCAAAATCATTTTCTCTTTTTTCTCCCCTACACCTTAGTGACCCAATTTCTGTTCCATATTATCATGAGAGGAGATGCAAAATATCAGAGCAATATATTCAAGTTGCTTTATTTCCTTATGAAGTTTCATTGTATGTTAGATTCGAATCCAACAATATCAGTAATATAGACCAAACAAATGAGTTTTCAAAACTATGACTTCTACAAAATGCTTAGCTAACACTTTATCTAGTAAGATCCAACCTAGATGAATTGGAAGCACCAGTCAACACAAGTATTGTCTCAGGTGGATTTTTTCTAACATTGTTTCACCTGTTTTATTTGCAAAGAGATATTAAAAACAGAACTGAAAAGACAGAAAAACTAAATAACCTTGTTAGCTAACAATATACAGGAGTCTATAAAGGTATAAGGCACAGTTCTAGGTTGTATTTATAAGAAACTATTCTACATACACAGTGTCCAAAAACAGTCATTTGCCCAACTCACTCCAAAGCCAATCAATAGCAAGGAATGTTTCCTTACATTTTACTACATCAGGATAGAAGGAGAGATAAAAAGTTTGTATGAAGTCCAATATACTTTTGAACTCATCTATGAGGGTGTCCTATATTACACTTAAGCATTGATTATTAAAGTTTTAATGTAGGAACCAATAATGTTAAACCAGAGTAGGCTTATTTCACAGTATTGTTTAAATCATCATGGATAATGATGACAAACACTAAATTATTATTCCTGGTTGTTTTAATATCTACAAAGAACTTTTCAAATGATTCACAAAAACACAGATAAAAATCTCTGATCATTGAAAACTGAAACTACTGCTGGGTGTTACTGCACAAGTACTAGGACTCATATTATGGACAGGCACTGTATATCATTTAAACTTAAAATTATATTGTTTTATTCACCCAAGAAGATTCTGAAGTCAAACCAACATTGATTTATAATTCAGAATCAGTTCTGTTTATTGCAGAACAAATTAGACTTTCAAATATTTTCCCAAGTGGTATTACAGGGCTATGTTCACCTTGTGATAATTCTTTGAGCTACGCACTTATTTTTTTTTTTTAAGTTTTTAAAATTCAAATGACTGGTAAGGGTAGCAGCTTCTACGTCAAAATTACATTCTAGGGAATGTTCACTGGATACACTTCTATGACACCAAAATATGTTTCTTAAAAAACTGGCCAGGAAGAGTCAATTACAATCTATTTCATTTTTCAATACACTATTTATTCATTGCCTCAACAAACAGTCATAAAGCACCTACTAAATGCTAGGCACTATTCTTTTTTTTTTTTAAAGGATGACCGGTAAGGGGATCTTAACCCTTGACTTGGTGTTGTCAGCACCACGCCCAGCCAGTGAGCGAACCGGCCATCCCTATATGGGATCCGAACCCAGGGCCTTGGTGTTATCAGCACCGCACTCTCCCAAGTGAGCCACCGGGCCGGCCCGCTAGGCACTGTTCTAAACTTATTATTTGGAATAGTGGATGGATCCTATTACCTAAGCATACAAGCAATATTGAAACAAATACAATACTTTTCGGTGTGTATCACCATTTTGGTAATTTAGATGAAGTTTCCTAAGAGAGTGAGAGAAAACCCTCACTAAAAAGTACCTCATACCAATTGCAGTTCACATGTGTAATTCATAAAGGATATATCTTTCACTGACAAATTCACTCATCCATCTATCTAGATGCCCATATTGCACAATTCTAATAGCTTTAATGTCACTATTTCTAAATTTACCAGGATAAATTAAAACAGTCACGACTGTATAAACCTCCTAAAATCTGAAACTTGGAACTGGGAGCCCAGGAACCAGAACAGACTAACATGTATACTTATAAGGCTTTTCTTACCTTTCAGAATTTGGTATATGTAAGAGTTAGAAGTTGTCATTCCAAAAGTATATCATAAATAACATGAACCAACAGTCTCTGGTTTAGAAAACCTGAACTTATTAATTATACACACACACACACGCATGCATACACATGTATATATCCACTAGTCTTCCGATCCCAACAACTGAAACACAGCCCTGTCCTAACCACTGACAATGGGAACTCAATTCAACATACCCTCACTGCTACAGCCCATCTGAGTTCTTCTCATTCCCTTCTAATTTCAAGTTGTCTTTCATGACTTTTTTTTTCCTTAGGTTGTTCATGCTGCTCCTTTGAACCCCATTCTCTCTATATAAATTATAGAGTGTGAGCTTATACACTATAATTTGCCCTCACACTGAACCATGTGCTCCACCTCCTGAGTCCTGACCAAGGATTTCTCTGACATGTCCTCACTGCTAGATGGAGGATCTAAATATGACTGTCAACATTCACTTCACAATATGTTAAGAACTCAGTGAAGATAGCTAAAGACAAGGAAGACTGTCTTAAAAGTTAGTATAGAAATTCAATAGTATATACTAACATATTTTATAAGAAAATATCATAAGAATTAAAAATTAATACAAATAAATATAATCAAAGCATTTGGAACTACAAGGAAGAAAAGAGTTCAACAGAGGACACTAAAGAGCTTAGAACATTGCCTTGCACCTAGAAAGAGCTCACTAAATGATAGTTAAAAAAAAGAAATTAGTCTGATTTGATCTCAAAATATTAAAAGTTCAAGTCTAAAAATGTAGGAATTCAACACTGTAAGAACAACAAAAGATATAATCTGTTTAAATCACTTCTTCAATCTCGAATATTCTGATATCATACTAGTTTCTTAAAATTCCACAATCCTATTGGATTTAGAGCACTCACTTCAAATATCGGGACTACCAACAATTATTTACATGGACTTGGATAGAAGACCTAAGATTTCAATTTCTCCATCTATTGCCCAAAATGAAATATTGAAAAAAAAGTTGCCTACAAAGTGATTTTAATAATTGAATATAAGCATGGTTTTAGAATGTGCATATAATTTATTACATCCATCAACTGCAAAATTTCAATAGCATATAAATATACAACTAATACAGCAAAGCAAGGATGGTAAGTAATATACAGTAGTTAAAACACCTTCAACTGGAGCATTATAAACTTAAGATATGATAAAAAGGAGAGAGTGAAATTTTATTCCTATACAAAGATAGGCAACTTGCTGTAATTTTTATAGTATACTTTCACAGGAAAATAAATGATGCTATTAACTGAATAATCTAAGATAAATCCTTCCATTGAGGAAAAACAAAAAACTTAACAGTAACTACCCAGACAGGTCGAGATATTCTACCAGAATCTCAAAAATATAACATCTTAACCCACTCTATCAGTGTTCCAATGTATAAATAGTAAATGCTTCTGGGCATTTTATTTAAGAAGTTACCCAATTTCATCAAATTTTACTTTACAAAGTTAAGTATTAAAATCAATAAAATTCTTCCTTTCCATTTTCACTACCACCACACTACTTCAAGTTTTACTGACTCACTCCCAAAGTGTTACAACAGTCTACCAATAGTGAATGGCAACCTTTCTGATATTGATTGTATAGACAAGACCAGGATACTCATTTACCTGGCATTTTTGTAGAGTATCTCGAAAAGACAGATGGATAGTCTCTCTCTACTGGCCAGAACAATCAAGACCAATAATCTTTTAATTTGCCTATTTTAGGTAATACTAAAATACTAAGAACAATTTTCCATCTGAATCTCAAATATCTACTGTTTATGAGGAGTCAATTTGGCACTGATACACTGGAAGTGCAACTTAGACATTAGTGCTACAAAACCACAAGGCAGCAGAAATAGAATTACAATGTGGTTCACATAGCACAATTTTGTAGTGCCTCCCCCAGTATCAGTCAACTAGAAAATATTTATTAAGGTTTACATGTAAGATAGAAGGAAGAAAGAAAAAAGTAAACCTGATTTCTGGCCTCAAGATGCTTGTACTATAGTTGAGAGGATGCTAGCATGTTTTACAATGTACCTTTCTGAATCAGATTTTAATCTTAAAGTTTATCTATTTTCATAAACACTATTAGATGTTAAATACTATTAGATGTTAAATACTATTAGATGTTAAAATTAGTTAGCAAGCTATTACCAAAACAAAGTACTTAACCACATTTCCAACTTGTCAAGCTCTTGAGAATTAGTCATCCATGCCAGTGAAGTGATTATTTTACTTTGTAAAATGATTTTAGTCTGTAAAAGCATCAACTTGGGAAAACAACAACCAAAACCATGTAATAATTACATGTCTCACTTATGCACTCTCAATTTTTTTTTCTGAATTAAAATACTGGATTATAAAATGACCTATATAAAAGAAAAGAGATTTAAAAAAAAGCTAAAACACATATTAGTAACCGAACTACACTCTTGCAAACTTCCTAACTAGTGGCTAAGATTAAATTACTGTACTCAAAGCAAAATAATTTAGCAGATAATCTCAATGAGTTACTTTGTCACTCTAACCCAAGTCTATTACCTTCTCTTTTTCTTTTTTATCCCCTTTCTTTCTTTCTTTCTTTTGTTTGAACATGCTTAACATTTTAAATTCTTCAGTACTGTTTAGCTGTCTTTCTTCAAAATTACTTGGAGGCTTGATCATTTATTTTAATAGGGCTAGGGCATCTAACAAGTTAGAGACAAAGATAAATGAAGAAGAAAGTGTATCATAAATTAAAATTCAGCAACAAAGTACTTAACCTTTGACCATTGTGTTGATTATGGTTTTATAAATCAGTAAAATATTGATCATTAACTTGTAATTATAATACTATAAAAGCATAGCTATCTAGCACATTTATAAATAATTAGTTTGCTTCATAAAGTAAGAAAACAGTACCATCTCTTTCTCCACAGTACCTCAAGAGGAAAATCCTTTATGCTGACATCTACAAAAGACTGGCAGTAATGAGGATCCATGTAAATCAAACTGTCATCTACAAGGGCAAAACAGAAGACAAGTAATTCAAAAAACACCTTATTATTACACTGCTTACGATCCAATTTCTATGTAGAACAGCTGAAAAAAATCTGGGAGTAACAGCTTGCCAGACTGATATTCATTGACTGAAACATAGGTTTGCACAGGATAGATTAACTTTTGCATAATCAAATATGCTTGTATAAGCAGAATTTTTATAAAGTGATGAGACTGTCATTTAATTTTTGGTGATAAAATTACTTTCACAAACACACAATTATATTCTACAGTTTGCATATGAAAAATGTATTGCACTTCTTTATCCTGACAGGAAGAACATATTGCTTGTCATTTTATCATCAACTAGTACCACTAAAACTGGTAAAAAGTAAATATGTAAATAGCAACCGCCAAAATGTGGCAACGATGTCTTCTGAAGTTTAGTGAAACCAATAAATTATGCCTTGTTTATGCAATAACAGAAATTAAGCATATATTTTACAGAATCTAATTATGTGGTGGACCAAATGACAAATGAGTGGCTATGGTAGGACAGATGAATGTACAAAGTACTTGTTTTGCTCTGTTAATCATCCTGCTTCCAGATGATCTCATATTAATTTTCTGACTTTTAAAAGAAAACAATGAAGAAATATATTTTACTAAATCACTAACCTTGAAATCCAGCAAAATAATATGACTGTTTAGGTTTACCACCAATAATACCCACACAATATTCAAGGCTTAAAATACCCTGCCAAAAGAAATTAATACAGATTTAGAGTCAAAGGACAAATAGCAATTATTCAAAACAACCGAACTTGTATTACCAATATCAGTAGTTCCCAAACGTGTCACCACCAGTTATCATTTTTATTACATTTGCCCCCATGTTCTGAAATCTTCCTGTCTTCCAAATTGCCTTCCCTTTTCTTTAAGTCATTCAATTTAACATGGCTAAATCAAATATCTTGATCAGTATATTGTTCAATAATATTAAACAACTACTATGTGTCAAATACAGAGATAATTAAGGTTACCACATTAAGGCAATAAAATTGCTACCAAAGCAAGAACACTTGGTCTTTCAGTTAGGTGGTGCAGCTTTATTGTGATCAATGTAATATTTTTATTAGGCTTTTCAAAATGCTAAAAATAGTTCTTAGACCTTATCATGTCTTCATTGAATATTGAGTCTTAAAATCCCTAACTAAGGGGCCGGCCCGGTGGCGCACTGCTATAGTGCGCTGCTTGGGAAGTGCGGCGTCGCTCCCGCCGAGGGTTCGGATCCCACATACAGACCGGTTCCCGCTCACTGGCTGAGCGAGGCGCGGGAGCAGCACTGAGGGCTGCGATCCCGTTGCCGGTCCCGGTCCGGTACGGGGGCGACACTGAGGGTTGCGATCCATTGCCGGACACGGAAAAAGACAAAAAAAAAAAAAAAAAAAAAAAAAAAAA